CTGCTCTGCATCATCAAAAGTGAAGATGCTTTTGCAGTTTGTTTCTGTGTCAGCATCTGGGCGGCCCTCCCTCTCTTCTAGCACGTTGATAGACCTGCTCTTGGAGCCTTTCAGAAGGGACCTTCTCTCCAAAAGTGGGAAATTACTTCCCTCTTTTCTGCGAAAGCATCGGAAGGCCCTTGGCAGTGCTGGTACTCACCCCAGCTGAAGGAGGGGGTGCTTCCTTCCGCTGCTCTGTGCCAGGTTGGGGAGCACATACCTCGGGTTCCACGAACCACAGCTGAGTTGATGACACTCAGCACAATGAGTTGGTTTGTGATGACTCAAGGATAAGTGCAGAGAGAATTAGGGATAATGGTGCTGAGTGGCTCCTCTCTGTGGCCATTCCACAAGAGCTGAGGTTTATAAGAACAAAGCCACATCACTGACACTGTTGGCTGGAAATGGACTGATGGGAATATTTCTTTCCAATTCTTTGCAGCTCTCCATACCTTGGCCTGTGATTTAGAGTACATGCTAAATTCCATGATGAAGACAAGGGCAATTTCTCAGATAACACCTGGGTATTCACTCTTTGTGCTCAGGGGTGTTATTCCTTGCAGAACATCAATGTAGATCATAGAATCGCAGAGTTGTTTGGGTTGGAAAGGACCTTAAAGCTCATCCAGTTCCAGCCCCCTGCCATGGGCAGGGACCCCTTCCACTAGAGCAGCTTGCTCCAAGCCCCTGTGTCCAACCTGGCCTTGAACACTGCCAGGGATGAGGCAGCCACAGCTTCTCTGGGCACCCTGTGCCAGCGCCTCAGCACCCTCACAGGGAAGAATTCCTTCCTTACATCTAAGATGAATCTCCCCTGTTTCAGTTTAAACCCATTACCCCTTGTCCTTTCGCTACGGTCCCCAATGAAAAGTCCCTCTCCACATCTTTGTAGGCCCCCTTTGGATACCAGGAGGCTGAATGGACTCCAGCCGGGGCATAAAATTCTAACAGCAGAAGCTGTCCCAGAGGAATCTTTTAGAGATGTCCCTTGAATACCAAGGATGAGGACATGGAGCCTGCTAATTAGTTATACTGAAATGTTCTTCCTACATATTTTTGTTTTTGGAAAAGCAGTGGAGTGGAATTATGAAATGTGTAGTCTTGTTTGCTAGAATCAGCTGCCTTCTTTCTGAAAGCGTTTTGTGAGAGAAGGGTTGAAGAACATGAGAAATAACAGGCTTTACTCCGGGAGTGTTAATTGCCATTTCTCATTTGTTGCTATTCTCCTGCTAAATCAGCTTGCATACATAAAATCATAAAATCCACAATTTTAAAAGTTGTTGCCATTAACATCTTGTTTTGTAGAGGTAGCTAAATGGCAAAAGATAGAATTCTGAGATGCTGATAGAAGAGGGAAGCAAGGTCTTTGAGAACTCTTTTATAGATCCAAGTATTACAGTCAGAAGCAGCAGCCAAATGAGTTGGTACAAGAGGACAGAGAACTGATTTGGTATTTATATGAAATGAAATAAAGGAGATCCAGAGCAACAATGATGTAAAGCTGGAATAAACCTTTTGAGGCCGAGGAAGACACAGCAAAATGGAGATGAGAAGGAAGACCTTAGGATGCTTTATTTCAGTCAATCAGTTCCATTCATTATGACGTACTTTCATCTCTTCTTTCCATTAAAACAAACTCTTTTCTTTGTCTTCCATGATTACAGAGGACGCATTGCTTCCTCAAACCCTTTTTTTGCCTCCCCTCCATCACTCTTCTGCTCTGTAATCTGCACAGCACTGGGTTGTTGCTGTTGGAGTGGTTGAAGGTGGTTTTTCCCCTTTTCATTCTCAGTTCCATTGTGAACTGCCTCTGGAACCATGGCAGAGAGACCTGCCCATTGCATCATGCCTTTTTCCTTTCACCAGCAAGACTCTGTGACAGTCTTCTCTCAACAAAACGTTGTTGGCAGCATCAGCACCCACCAGCCCTCATGAAAATCCTCCTTTTTTCCTACAGCAAAGAATCAGATTTACTGACACAGTGTCATCCATCTGTTTGCAGGCACCCAGCTGGATGAAAAGGTGGACCTTTCACTGTCAGTAAACTCAGTTACCAGTGGACCAACAGGAGGAATGAGTTACTTAATTGAAAATGCATTTCCAAAGACTAAGTGTATTAGGAAAATGAGTTTGTTTTGTTCAGCTGCTGTCATGAAGGAAAGCACTGTGTAGGAGGACAGGCAATGGCTTTGAAAACTGTTCAGCCTATTTATGGCCCCTGTCAAAGTCAGATTAATGATTTTATATCAAAATGATACACACTTAATAATTTTTCATCATCACTGTAGTTTGGTTAGAAATAACAAGCATAGCAAGCTCTCGGTTCACATTTCCTGGAGTCTTCAAAGGGAATTAGTTGTGTGTCAGTGCCATGAGAGCTTTAGTAAGGCTTCATGGATTTAATCAAATGTTATAATTTTACAGTGTGTTTAAACTTATGAGTTTCACAAAAATTCAGACCTCTAATACAAAAAGGAAAACTTATTTTATGGCATTTCAATTTTTCACTCAAACATATGCAAAATACCACTTCTAATATGAATTCACATTTGTGTCATTATTTTTTTCTATCCCTTTTGTGCAATTGAAAGCAGTGAAATAAATTGTATGGCAAAATACTGTGCAACCACATAGTTGTGCCAGCCCAACAAAGCAGATCTGCTCATTCCACACAGCTTTAGCCTATAGCAGAATGCTGTGGAGAGATCGGTATGGTGTGGAGTGCCCTGTGATGGGAATGCAAGGCGAGTGGTGCAGGCACACTGATGCTCTGTCTCATCTGAAGCTGTTCCTGAATGTGTTTAAGAATCCCAGGACACAGTTTTTACGGAAATGGCAGAGGAAATAACAAGGGCCTAACCCCAGCTTGTATCTCCAGCGCTGAGTCCTGCAAGATCTGTGATCCCGGCTCCCCCCACCCCGAGGAACTGGGGAGAGAATGGCTCCTCCTGATGGCCTCACTCCTTGTGTTCTTGGCAGCAGCACTGCTCAGGAAATTCTAACAAAGCCGAGACATAACATAGACATTGCAAGGAGAACTGTTTACATTCCTGTAAAGAAAGCTGAGCAAGAGCTCTCAGGACCACTGAGTAAGTCTCTGCATAGCTCCTACGTTTGAACTCTTGCCCATCCTGTGCTGCTGGGGTGGTGCTTGTACTCGCAGTTCAAGCACCCCAGGTGATGCCTTTTCACTAACACTGGGGTACGTGCCAGACTTCTCAATATTATGGGGCTCACTTTTGAGGTTAGCTGGGTGTCTTCTGGAAGCGGAGCCATCGGAACCAGGAAGACAATTCCTGAGACAGCAGCTAATGGAGGCGATGTCTGACTGTCATCATGGGATTTTACGCGCTGTACTTTTTATATATAGGAGAAGATATATGGCATCAGCTGTATGCATTTCAAAAGTCTGATGGGGCTGTAGCTTAGAAAAGAGTGTGGGTTGTTGCGTTTGTTCCTTGATATCAAAGATGCTATTTTAAATGGGAAGGAGCACACAGCAGAGAGAATTGTGGGATTTCTATTTGCCATTCAGTATACCAAAGATAAGTTAAGTTTAGTTTAAGTCAAAGAACAATTACTCTGAGGATTTTTATATGAATTACAAGTATGGGTTGGATTTTTATAATGCCTATTACAAGGAGGGCAGTCCACCCAGGACTGCTTACGTGGGTAGCTACAACATAAGGCATCACTTTCAATTGCTCTGTAATTTCTTTGTTAGCTTCCACCTGTTTATCCAAGCTACAGTGGAGACAGTGAAGAGGGTAAGATGAAATTATGAGGGAATTCTGTCCTGGTAGCTGATGCCTGAACATCACATATAATCAGAGGAAAAATTTTAAAGCACTGAAAATTACTAGCATATAACTTAGAGACTGCACCAAGTCTGTAACCTTGTTGTACTTACAAAAAGTCATTTTGTTTTGATTGCCTATTGAATAAGTCTGATTATTCTTTAAGAGTCACTTGCAATGGAGCCTGAAGGTACAATATAAAATAATTGAATTGAGCGTAAAGTTCCAGCTGGTAACCTTGTCAGTAATCTGAACAAAGATCTTGTATCTGTAATTTAGAGAGCTGAAGCTGTGAATGTGAAGTGGATTCTCCTTGTATTTAGGAACTGCACACCCGCCTTTTCCCCCCACCAGTGGCAATCCTGTTCTTACCATCAAGCTCATTTTAATGGAATTAACATACCAGTTGATGGCAGCATGCTGGAATTAGAACTGTGTGGTTGGCTCAGATTTATTTCATGCTATATCACAGTATGAACTTGAGGAATGATTTGCAGGAGACTGATTATCACGGACATTGAACTTCACCATAACTACAATAAGTAGTGACAGGATTCTTTTTTATCTTTTCTAAGCTATTTGTTGCAATTTTTGAGCCCCTTAGTGTCACTTTACAAGAGAGAGCCCTGGAGCTGTAGCCAAACATTCTTTAAGAAGTGACCAAAAGTGGTAAGACAGCACAAGGTTTGTCTTGCCTGTAAATGTAATACAGGGCTCTTCAACAGTTGGTGGCACAAGCCCTTCAGCTTTGTCCTCACAAAACCCTCTCACTTCACAGGTTGTGTATGAAATCTGGGTAAATTGGACTCCAAGGATACAGGCAGGAGTTCAAGACTCCTCTTTATTAGGACACACTGTTTATTTCAAAGATGAAATCACCAGGATGCTGTTATTCAGTATTTTCTCACAATTTTACTTTGCACATAAAGGAATGAAACGATTCTCTTGCAAATCCAAGCAACTCCTTTTTCCTATTCTAAATTATTAATAACTGCAGTATTTACCTCACAAAGAAAACAGAATCCTGAGGAACTGAAATTAAAAGCTGTTTGGGGAATGAAATATTGCACAATTTGTTCTGTGTTGCTTAAAATCTGCATTCAGCTAGAAATGAGTTTATCAATCTCTTTTCCAAATCTAAGATGTACTTCTTTTTCATTGCAGAGACAGCTTCCTTGGTTAGACAAATCCAAACATGGAAATCAACTTTTTGCAAGCATCAGGATAAGTGGTATGTTACTATGGCATTTTGGATGCCTCCTTATTTACTAAGCTCTTTAGCCCTGTGTTGCTAAGATGCAAAGCTGATGCACAAAACAATAGGCCATCCTCGTCTCCAGATAATAAGGTCAAAGTACAAAGTCAGTAGGATGTAATTTTCCACAAATGGAATGTGTTCTAATTAGAAAGATTTGATACTTAAGTACTATTTGAAGTAAGTGCTTTCTGATCCAAATAGGAGAGTCGTTATTAATAAAAATGAATTCTCTGCTTTGGTTTAATAACTGGTACCATCTTGTGACATGCTAGGAACACACACACACGTGTGTATGTGCCTTTCCATACTCCCTGTCCCCCTCCATGAGCTGTAGCAGTGACAGCAGCACCTTGGTTTACCATCTCTGAGCAGCTACATCTCATTTCATGAAATGCTTTAAAGAAATGGTGCCAACCATTCCATGATGCTGTTATACCTCCCTCCTCTTTTGATAGCTCCCTTTTTATGTCCCAGCTGGTATTCCTTGGAGCTTTGCCTTTGGTAAACTGCCATATATTCTTTGCAAATATGCCACAGCTATTCGCTTTTCCTTCTGCAAATGACTCGCATTAGCTTCTATTGTTGTTGCATGTCAGTGAGAATATAGTTCCTTCAGCTCACTAGCTGCTATTATTTTCCCCTATTTTCCATTAAGAAGTATTTTATCCCAAATGTTATGAAAATACATTTCTTTTTCTGTTAACTTAGTTTGTAAAGCTTTTCCCACAGACAAATATCTCCCCCAGGATTAACTGTAGAGAACCTGAGAGATGGTGGTGGGTGTTCTTTTCCATCTGCAATGCATTTCCCCCCCTTAAATTTATGTATGTGCCTGCTCCCTCCTTATGGATACGTGTGGGAAGTAACTGGTATAGGAAATAAAGGAGTGTCTGGTGACCAATACATATGTGTTTGCACAGAGAAGGGATAGTTTGGGGAATATCTGTGGATAGTACATTGCGCAGAAAGATTTCTCTTTGTATCTGAGCAATAGGAGTGGGTGAAAGTATTCATGTGCCCATCGATTCTGGTCTGATTCTTACCGAAGTTAACATCCGTACCCTGTACGCAATCCTACAGGTTTCAGTGAGTTTACATTGTGCTGTGCAATGATGCTTTATTTCTTATGTCACTGGGGGACTTCAAGTATCAGTGGAGATGTACTTCTAGATCTCCAGTAAGTTGGAGGTGCTTTCCATCAGGAGAGGACTAGTGTTCCAAGAGGCCCTTGTTCAGTTTGATACAGCATCTGTACATTTGGACTGTGATGTGAAGAATTTTACCCCTTTCAGTGTGCAGAACTGGAAACCTCCCAAAGCAGAATTGCAGCATTTCTCCTGCAGCATTTCTGCGGTACTTTTAAAATTGTGTTCCAAGTTCTACATGTTTAGAATTTAGGCCACGGTACCACAGCCAGAGTGGGAGACAGCAGATATCAAATAGTACCATGATAGAGGCACATAGCTGCAGCACTATAATCAGGTAATAACCTGACCCTCCCTCCTGCACAGTAAAGTCCAAGAAGTCTCAGCATTAATCTCTTCCATAGTGTGAAGAGGCACACTAGGAATTTTTCTTGAAGATTTGATTAAAGGAAATCCAGGCGGTTCTACTAAAGATAAAACCCTTCCGAGGCAGCAGGAGAGGTGAGCTCCACCAGGGAAGGACTCTGAGGATTCCTTCCAAGCTGCAGGAAATAGATGGTAACTGCATTAAAGCTGAGGGTGGTATCTGTGCTGTGTGCTGTGGGGTGTGCCAGCAGAGCTCGGACCCTCTGCTGCCACCAGTGACACACAAACACACCTCACACAAGAGCGAGTTCTGGGGTAGGGAAGCAAGTGAGAGTTTTCAGAGCAACTTGTCTTAACATTAACAATGGAACATGCCTTTAGCCGTGTGCAAATAAGCAGAGATATAACGTATGTGCTGTAACTTGGGCATAGGCTCTTGGTTTAAAAGCACACAGTTTTCACAGGCTTATGAAAACATTTGCATTTTGGAGGAAAGATAATGTTGTGGAGTGTTGTGCTGGAACATAGGAGCTCTTAGTGTCAACCTCAGTTCTGGCACAGGCTGCCTCTAGAACGGTATCAGATCAGTCTGCAGGAGCCATACAGCCTGTCTTTTGTATGTCATTTATGCTGTTCTGTAAAGTCAAAGGAAGATATGATGGAAATAAAAGGGTTGTTATTGAAAGACTCATGCACTGAGACAGCAGAAACAGTGAAATCAGTGCATCGGGTGAGATTTCTACCATTCAGAGCTCCAAATTTTTTTCACAGCAAGTCACTGCTGGTTGAACATCAGCTCTCAGAAAAAGGTGTTGTAGCCAAACCCAGCCTTTGTAGCACAGCCTTGAGTAGAGAGCACGTGCACTGCACTCACAGCATAGAAACCCTGCTGCCGTTCGGCTGCGCTGATTGCTGGTGCTTGTGCTGTGAGTCACCTCACTTCATGTTGTTGCAGCAGTTTGTATATTTTGGGGAGGTGGAAAAAATAATAATAGGAGATATTTTATACGAATAGCATGATTTCAGTTCCTGTCTTGATCATTACATTGGCCAGGTAAGAGGCCTTGTTATTGGGAAGGATAAATAGACCTACTGGTAATGTAGCAAAAAAGATATATTCTCTACTTAGATTAAGCAGGCACAAATTGGAAGGGAGGGAGATAGAACGATTTTTCACATAACCATAATTGTGTGCTAATTATATCATGGAATGAAAGCAATTGCCCAATTATAAGACAATGTATCACTCTATCACAGGCAGTGCTTTGAAGGTTTATGTACTTTAAATTACTGTGACATTCCCAAGGCTCCTCTGTTTACACATTTGTCTCAGCATCTTCTACCAACAGCAGTGCTATGACTAAAGCCATTAATTAATATATTCCCTGTGTCTTTGCAGAAGTTAGAGAGTCCTGTTCATAATGAATTTATGCTGTTCTGTAAGTAGCTTGATTTTCCCATTACACTGCTAATGACCACTCTGGGTCCACCACTTGAAATACACCCCATGTTTAAGTCATGTTGTATCTGCTAGTACACCTTTCCTGTACACCAGCCGCTGAGCCCTCAAAGAGAATCTGTGGCTGCCCCATCCCTGGCAGCATTCAAGGCCGGGTTGGACTGGGCTTGGAGCAAGCTGCTCTAGTGGAAGGTGTGTGTCCCTGCCTGTGGCAAGGGGTTGGAGCTGGAGGAGCTTTAAGGTCCCTTCAGCTCAAACCGGTGTGGGATTCTGTGATAGAAAATCAGTGAGGGCTTACCAGCACTTCTTCCTCACCCACTTTCGTGCACCTTCTAATAACTAACCATATGACAAGTTAAGCCTTACTCTACTCCGGATTGCAGCACACCTATAGGTCATTAATACCTATCCCTTTGGACCTTGGAAGAGGATGGATCCTTCCAGGGAGTGGCCACCCCCAGGGCACCCATATCTGTGGCTGCAGTGTATGAAGACAGGATCTCTTCCACACACAGAGATGAGGTTTTTCTACATACTATTGGTCAACCCCAAATTGTCAAACCCCACACAGAAATCAATATGATGTCAACCTAGATCTTGGTGTGTTGGGAACCAGCTAATAAACAGGCTGCTGCATTCTATGGCAGCTTCAGTTCACAGATAGATTTAAGGTGCAGCCCTAAGTACAGCACACTGCAATATGCCTTGCTGTCAAAGTAAAGACTAGGGAGTGTTGACTTATTCAGCAGTTTCACACAAGGACAGGCTTGACAGGTGGCACCAGAATGTGAGGTCTGTTTCAGATTCTTTCATTAATTTTTTGCAAACTTTAGGCGCTTTTGAAAGGAACCATATTGACGGCACTAGAGGCTGCACTCTGCTATTTATCCATAAAATATAAATGGGAAGGGATACTCCAAGCTTACCTGTTTCCCTGGCTGAAAGGCATCAGCTCTTCTCTGTGATGTTTGGTGAGACTGAGAATGTAGTTGTCTCATTCACAAGGACATGTCTACAGGGCAATGTAGGGTAATACAATGTCCTTTGCTGGCCTGTAAGTGCTTCAATGAGATATTATGGGTTGTGTGTCTCTATCTTTGTTCCAACTTTTTTTTCCTGGTTTCATTTTTAAAGGCATTTGCCTGGTTTTACAGTTACTTATTTTGAATGTTTACCAAAACCTGCTGGTTTCTTGCCATTTTTGCCATTCTTTGTGAAATTAGGTCTATGAACCTTCGTGCAGCATTAAATTGATGGCTGTCTGCATCTCGAAAGTCACCAGTCAGAGCGCTGGTAATTGGCACCTCAACATAAATTCCCAGCAGAGGCCAAGGACCAGATAGTTTCAGAGATGAAAGACCATCTGCCTCTTCTTGGTGGATCCTCATGGCTGACTGAGCAATGTCAGGAAAGCTTGTCTGCTTTACCTTTTTTTGGGGACAAGTCAAGGATTTCTCTACCACCCATCTGGTACCTGATCCTGGCATGGGTTCTTTATTATTTTTAAGATAATTTGCCTTCCTCCCCCCTCTTCTCGTGGCAAAGGGTTTTAATCCCCTGTCACTCGCATTTTTCAAAATGGCACCTCAGATGGTGGGGACAAATGCATGACTTGCTGTCCCCTGTGTTTTGCTGCCACAGGTGATGCTAGTGGAGAGCCCCGTTCCCTGGTGCGGTACAGCCGAGGTGTTTGGCATCTCTAAGTACCCAAGAACTTGGTATCTTTCTTGGTATCTCCCTTTCTTGCACTGTGCACATTAATGCTTTGGCACATAAAAAATGCCAGCAGATGCCATCAAGTGTAAAGAGACAGGTGGTGTCACTGCGTCAGAGGAGGGACTTCCTCCAGAAAGATGGCACTTACTGAGTTCCGTAGGCTGCCCGTGCAAATCCTTCCCCACGTGGCACCCATCTCCTTGGGAGCCAGGCCTGATGTCCCTGCGAGCCGGCACAGCGCCATGTGCAGCCCAGGAGTGCACACACACACACAATGGAGGTGCTTG